GAAAGGCAGTCTCTGGGAAGAGGCTGAAGCATTAACTCTTCTGTAAACAAATCTTTTTCGGATACCAACCAGTGGCCCCAGGCCCTCTATCAGGTCCAGTACAATAAATTCCAGAAAATGACCACTGACCCTAGACTCCCTCCCATTTGCCCGGTAAAACAGACCCTAAATTCCTGAGCACTAAAACTGACCCCTTTACTGACTGATAGAACAAACTCCAAATTCCTGGGTGTCCAAAGAAAATTGATATGCTCACTAGACCACCTCTCAGATAACCTAAATAAGCCCAGGCCCTTTCTTTGTKCAGTGGCTCATTTTCCACCAGGAAAGTGGGTGCCACCACAGCGTCATTTYGTCCCTGCATCCCCTGCTCCTGTGTGACACTTCATTCCTGAATAAAGCACTGGGCTGATTTGTGAAGTTTTTGTTTGTCCCGGTCCTCCCCCCACCCCAAAAAAGACARTAAGCGGGGTGGGGAGTAAGGTGCTGGGGAAGTATTGAAAGGAGGGATCTTTGGCTGGAATCAGGGAAAACTCCAAAGAAACAAGACAATACTTTTTTCTGGACAAACAATAATTTTTTAAAATAATATTTATTAAATGCTTTCTCCGTGGCTATCACAGAGGTGCTACTTTCCTCGGAACTTGTAGTTTTGTTTTCTGCAGTAGTGGGAGTCAAATCCAGGGCCTGGCACAGAGGTAACTCTACCGCGGAGCTACAGCCCCATCCCTTYCCGTTTTGAGAGTGGGTCTTGCTCAATTGCTGAGGCTGGCCTCTAACTTGCGATGCTCCTGCCTCCCAAGTAGATGGGAGATTGTACAGATTGTTTAGGCAACACGGTCTTGGGCACATCCCTCTTCTCTGGATCTCATCAGGGCATTGAAAAGAAAACAAAATGAAGTCATGTCATTTGCAGGAAAATGGATGGAACTAGAGACCGTTATGTTAAGCGAAGTAAATCAAACTCACAAGGTCCAGGAACGTATGTTTTCAAAGGCGGAAGTAGAGAGGAAAGAGGAAAAGAAAGGTGGAAACAGACCTCATGAAAATCAAAGGGAGCTGAGTAGAGAATAGAGGACCAAGGAATGGGAGGTGGAAAGAGCGGGGGAAGGGCTGAGAAGTGATACAGGACAAATTATATTGTTATACTGTGTGCATGTACGGATATGTAACAATACCTACAACTATAATGCACCAATAAAAAAAAAAATGTGTGTGGGGGGGAATAAAGCAAGCAAAGCAAGACGTTCTCTTGCGCTCTCTCTCTCTCGCGCTCTCTCTCTCGCGCTCTCTCTCTCTCTCTCTCTCTCTCTCTCTCTCTCTCTCTCTCTGGAGACTTCCGGCGAGCGGAACCTAGGTTCCTATTCTGAGGGAGACGCCCGGAGATTTTTCACCGGGACTCTCACCTTAGCGACGCGCGCCTCGTTGCTAGGGGCTGAGGCGCGGGAGGCAGTGGAGGCTGCGGATGCTCTGCTGCTCCGTGACTCGGCCGGCCCGGCGCCAGCCGGACCCAGCTGCGGGTGGGTATGGAACCCGAAGTGGGAGAAACGGGGGAAGCGGGAGGTGGAAGTCCTTTCGCTTTCTGGGCCGCAGCCACCCACCTGGCCAAGCTTCGAGGAGGTTTCTGGGGATCACAGTTGGTCTGGGTGGCGTAAGGTTTCCCTCTTGAGGGATTGTTCCTCGCCCACATGCACTTCAAAAATAAGCTTTAGCGGTTCACATATTGGACAGGGAGAGGAATTTTTGTGGTCTGAAGCGCCAGGAAAAAAAAAAAAAAACTGCACAGGTTGTCCTCAGCCTTCGGAGTTCTGACCTAGAACTGACTCGCTGTGTGACTCTGGGCCACGGTTTCCCTTATCTGTACCATTAGAGAGTCTAACCACACCACCTTCCATATTTCTACCCGTCGCTGTTTCTATGTGAGCATTGGTTTAGATGCCTCTGGGTCCCAGTTTCATGGTACAATATAATGGTTGCATATGCAATGACATATATCAAGAGTATTGCACTAGAGAGTTAAAAAAAGAATTCTCTGTGTTGTTTAGAGTGGTCACTGTATATCTCAAGGTCTTTGAAAAACAGATTTGGGGCAGAAATAGGTCCTGGGGTCCAGATTTATTTATTTATTGCTACACTGGGGGTTGAACCCAGGTATGCTCTACCACTGAGCTATATCCCTAGATCTTTTTATTTTTTATTTTTGAGACAAGGTCTTACTAAGTTGTTCAGGCCAGCCTCAAACTTGCAATCCTCCTGCCTCAGCTTCCCAAGTAGTTGGAATTACAGACTTGCATCACTCCACCCAGCCTATTCTCAAGATTTTAAATTGCCTCACTGTATAACATAATTCTTATTGTGATCCATCACTCTAGTCAGGGGACCTAATTGGCTTCAGCTTAATATTCTCTAGACTCACATATGGATTTGTATGTGATCTCTGTGTTTTTTTTAAACATCAGAAATTTATTAGTTGCTCAATACATTATATTGATCTTGACATATCATATATCACATATTTGATTCAAATGGGGTATGAATTCCTATTATTCCCACGTGTACAGATTGCAGGATCACATTGATTATACAGCCACGTTTATACATACTGCCATACTAGTGTCTGTTGTATTCTGCTGCCCTTCCTATCCCCTTCCTATCCCCCCTCCCCTCCCCTCCCCTCCCCTGATCTCTGTGTTTAATATACATTTACTATAAGCAGGATTAACAAGAGTGAAATTGCTGATCGGTGCAGTAATTTTAATAACCATACCTTATTATTAACAGTTTGGCAGTTTGGAGGCTTTTACACAGCAGGTGTAGTAGAGGAGCAGTATAGTATGCTGATCAAAAGCAGGGTCTGTGGAGTCAGATTGCTTGGGTTCAAGTTTCATTTCTGCCACTTATTTACACTGCAAAAATGAGCAAGTTATTAACATCTCTTTGTCTCACTTTTCTCATCTGCAGAATGGCTATAGTAACTATTTCAGAGGTATGTTAATGAAATGAATTAATAAATATGTGGCACATAGGGAAGTTCCTGACACATCTTAAGAGCTATTTTTAACCTTCACAGAAAACAGTGAAGAGTCATTATCCCATTTTGCACATTAGGAACCTGAGACTTAGGTTCAGCAATTTGCCTAGTACCTCAGAAGAATTGTAATTCAGACCTAATCCTGTCGAATTCAGACAGTAAGACATTTAATCAAATGTTATTCTGTGCTGCTCATAATTCTCAAAATAAACTACATTGTCAATCAGTGCTTAGAATGTATTTAGATAGGCATAGTGATGCGCCCCCATAATCCCAACTACTTGTGATGCTGAGGCAGGAGGATCAAAAGTTCAAGGCCAGCCTTGCAATTTATCAAGACCCTGTCTCAAAATAAAACAATTATTTTATTTTATTTTTATTTATTTTTTTTTAAAGAGAGAGGAGAGGGAGAGAGAGAGAGAGAGAGAGAGAGAGAGAGAGAGAGAGAGAGAGAGAGAGAGAGAGAGAATTTATTTATTTATTTATTTTAGTTCTCGGCGGACACAACATCTTTGTTGGTATGTGGTGCTGAGGATCGAACCCCGGGCCGCACACATGCCAGGTGAGCGCGCTACCGCTGAGCCACATCCCCAGCCCAAAACAATTATTTTAAAAAGGTTGGTGGTGTAATTCAGTGGTTGAATACCTTTGTGTTTAGTACCAAGTACTGAACAAAAATTTTTTTAGAGTGTACTTAAACTCTTAGAGTTGTTAAAATGTAGGGGCTGGGATTGTGGCTCAGCGGTAGAGCACTCACCTAGCACGTGCAAGGCCCACATAAAAATAAGATAGATATTGTGTTCAACTACAACTAAAAAATAAATATTTTAAAAAATGTAGTAAAACTCTTCTGAGTAGAGGTTTATAATGGGCATTCTGGGCTAGAAGTCAAAAGATTATCTGATTATGAATTTTTTTTGCAGTACTGGGGATTAAGCCCAGTGGTGCTCTACCACAAAGCTACATCCCAGCCCTTTTTTTAAATTTTTTAAAAGTTAAAAAAAATTAAAAAATTTGTTCTAATTATACATGACAATAGAATGCATTTTGACACTTTATACACAAATGGAGCATAACTTCTCATTCCTCTGGCTGTACATGGTACAGAGACACACCAGTTGTGTAATCATACATGTATATAGGGTTAAATTTTTTAAAGTTTTGAGACAGAATCTCTTTAAGTTGCCAGGCTGGCCTTGATTTTTTTTTTTTAAGTTGTAGATGGACACAATACCTTTATTTTGTTTGTTTATTTATATATGGTACTGAGGATCAAACCCAGGGCCTCACAGTGCTAGGCAAGTGCTCTACCACTGAGTCACAACCCCAGTCCTCCTGCTACAGCCTGAGTTGCTTGGTTCACAGGCTTATGCTACCACGTTCGTCTTGGTTATAATTTTGAACAAATAATATATCTGCTTTCTGCAGGTCTCAAAGTAAAGGATTTATATGTGATGATTTTGAAAAGCTCTTTCATCTCAGGTTTTGTGGTTTATACTTAATTATTTTTTAATCTAATTAAATTTTTCCCACTTTTTATTGGTGCATTATAATGATGGGATTTGTTGTTACATATTTGTACTTACACACAATATGACAATATAATTTAGCCAATACCACTCCCTAGTWCTTCTCCCTCCCTCCCCTTATACTTATTTAAAACAAGAAATTTTCCTTTTTACAAAAGCAGTGAACTCTGAAAGTAAATAGTCAACTCTGAAGGTTTTCAATGAACAGAAGAACTATACTATGAGTAAAATAAAAATATTTCATGATGTAATTAAATATATTTTGCATATTTAAAACTAGATGTATAATCGACATTAAAATTATACTTTCCCTCATTGGTGGAAATGTGAACCTTATAATCTTGGAATTTTGTAAGCTATCCTTTTTATTGTGAGAGAAAATGACACTTAGCAATCTTTTTAACCAAACAAGGTCTTTATTTACCTTGTAAATCTCTTTTCAGTGCAAAGAGATGCTTAGAGAAGAGATTAACCTGAGCATCTTTTCCCTAATTACAGAAATTAGGAAGTGGCTGCCTGAATTATTTTCCAAAGGATAAACATTACAAATAATTAAAAACGCAACTCACCAGAAGATCCTTTTGATTTGGGGGTAAGTACCTTTTCCTTTAGAATGTCCCATGAATATTCTTCACTTGGGAGGTATGGCTCTCTGGAGATACCAGTTAGGAATCCAATCAGATTTAAGCACAGCCAGTCCATTTATAGCACCTGCAATTTCCCATGACCTAGATCTATGGGTGGCACATCTTTTTAGTTGGATGATAATGTCGAAAAATGGGTTAGACTGGCAGATAGGAAGCCCTGCACCCTCTGTCTATGAACAATACAACATTCCAAGCTTTGCGGAAACTATTCTGAAATTTTTTTAAATCACATCTTGTGATCTATCATATAGAATCCTAGAATATCTGAACTTGAGGGGACTGTGTAGATTCACTACTTCACAACAATTATTTTTGTTGTATTGGTGAGCCTCATGGGATACAGAGATGGATAATCAGAGCCCTTCTTTTTTTTTTTTTTTTGGTACTGGGAGTTGAACCCAGGGATGCTTAGCCATGGAACCACATCTCCAGCCTTTTTTTTTTTTTTTTTTTTAATTTAGAGGCAGAATCTCACTGAGTGCTTAGGGCCTCACTAAGTTGCTGAGGCTGACTTTGAACTCGTGATCCTCCTGCCTTAGCCTCCTGAGTTGCTGGGATTATAGGCATGTGCCACCGCCCAGCAGAGTCCTCCTTCTTATGGAGCTCATAGTCTACTAAAAATCATTTAGTCTAGTGTCCTGATTTTTTAAATGAGGAGGATGAGGCACAGAGTGAGAACTGCATCCACTGAAGGACACATAAGATGAGACAGAGTTGGGCCAGAGCCCAGGGCTCTTGATGCCACACACAGTGTTCTTGCCACTGCATTGCTAGTGTCTAGTTACCTTCTGAACTAGTTACCTGTTCTTCTCAAGAGATCAGTTCTGACAGTTCCTCAAAATGTAGGCTGAAGTTCTTTTGGAAAACTCCAGTGTTTAAGGTAATGGTGTGAATGAGAATTCTTAACTTGGTGACTTTTAGATGCTCCGTGCAGCCTGTTCTTCCTAGAGTAGGCTGCTGGTGCCCATAGGAAACTCATCTCTTATTCTGCAAGCAGAACCCCAGAAGAAACCGGCAGGGCATTCTCACTGCCCCRTTTACTTGCCTTAGCCTTCTGGCATTTCAGGGGACAGATAGTTATAGAGGACATGGGACCTGAAACAGCTGAAATTAGCCCCAAGTCAGGGTTCTTCAGTCCCAGTGAATGTTCTTACTGGTCACATCTTTGGCTTTCTCTCTCTCTCCCTCCCCACCCATCCCTCTCTCCCTCCTCTGATTCACCAGCATGCAGTAAATTAGGTGCTTACAGAGTATTTCTTGAGTGAAGGACTGGATGGGCATCTTTGATTGCATAATTTATTTTTTTTTCTTTTTAGTTCTGGCCTTGTTAGTTGATGGGAACAATGTAAATAAATCTGGAAAACAATTATTGCTTTTAGTCTTTATGACTAATACAGGTCATCCTATACTAACATGATTCAATTATTAGATCAGTTCTCAAACTTTTGTCATCAAGTCTCCTTAGTACTCTTTTTTAAATTTTTAAATTTTATTTGTTTATTTATTTGGTACCAGGGATTGAACCCAGTTTTGCTTAACCATTGAGCCATGTCCCCAGCTTTTTAAAATATTTTATTTAGAGACGAGGTCTCGCTGAGTTGCTTTGGGACTTCTCTCAGATGCTGAGGCTGGCTTTGAACTTGTGACCCTCCTGCCTCAGCCTCCTGAGCGGCTGGGATTACAGGTGTGTTCCACCATGCCCAGCCTCTTTATACTCTTAAAAATCATCAAGGACCACAAACAAGTTTTATTTATGTAAGTTATAGATTGGGTTCAGGATCTTGCTTGTCCAACCTCTTATTGATATAAAAACTGATAAATTTCAAATTAAAATACTTGTCTAGCATCTCAGGTGTGATTCCTCAGCCCCACAAAACAAAAACAAAACTCTAACAATAAAAAATCTATTACTCGTTAAGATGAATAATATAATTTCATGAAAATAAACTTTCCCAAAAAATTTAGTAGGAAAGAATGGTATTGTTATAATTTCTTTGAAGTCTCTTTATTATTTGGCTTAAACAAAGACAACTAGATTCTTGTATCTGCTTCTGCACTCAGTCTATTGCAATATATTGTTTAGGTTGAAGTATGAAAGGAAAATCATGCCTCACACAGAGAGACAGCTGGAGAGAGGAGGACCCTGGACTCCTTAAAGAACCAGAAATCCCCCCTGGTCCCCAGATCACACTTGGAGAACTGCTGGTCTAGGTCATTATCTATATTATCTCAGTGTCATCATCTTTAGCATCTCATTACAGAATAATTTAATGATCTTTTATGCTGATTTAAGTACCACAGTGAAATTATTTAAAAATAGTTCAGCATAAGAAGGGTCATAACTTTTTAGAATGTCCAAAGCTCTTCTCTTCCAAGAAGCTTCACTAGTATGGATTTAAAATTTTTTCAATTACATGCTTAGTATTTATCTTATTGTGATAGAGTGTACATAACATAAAATTTACCATTAGTGACATTTAGTACCCAGACAGTGTTGTGCGACCATTACTATTGTCTAGTTCCACAACATTCTCATCACCCCCAAAGGACACCAGACCTATTGTTCCCTCCTTGTCTCAACTCTTGGCAGCCACTAATCTGCTTTCTGTTGCTGTAATTTGCCAACTGTGCATACTTCACGTAAGTGGAATCATACTTTGCATGATACTTTGAAGGTTCCCTTTTGCTGTAGCATGTGTCAGTGCTTCATTCCTTTCTGTGTCTGAATAATATTTCATTATATGGATAGACCACATTTTGTTTATCCACTCATCCCATTGATGAGTTTTGTCACCTTTTGGCTATAGTGAACAGTTCTTACAGCCATGAGCATTGGGTACCAACTTTTGTGTGAACACCAGTTTTTAATTCTTTTGGATTGGAATTGCTGAATCATAGGGCAATTTTATGTTTAACTATTGAGGAACTTCTTAATGTTTTTTTAAAACTAATGCATGAAAACAAAAATTGTACATATTAATGGAGTACCATGTAATGTTGCAATACATGTATACGTTGCATAATATTTAGATCAGTTTAAACATAATTCTTGAGTGTTTTTAAAAGTTAGTTTTGTTTTTGTTTCTCTGCTGATGGTTTATTGGTACCTGTAATCCCTTCAAAGTAAAGCAGGAAAAAGAGGAAAAGCACATGCATTCAATTAGTCTTTTTTGTTTTAAAATAATTTCACATAACCATGTTGTGCCTAACAAAATTAACAGTACACATTCTTCTTTTTACTAAACAGGAAACACAACTTCCATCAACCACAAGGGATGCTGCTACTCAGATGCCACCTGAAACACACTCCTCTTTCTCAGGCTTCGTGTGGGCTCTGTGCCGTAATGGGGAAACTGCAGAGCAAACTCAAACACAGCAGTTACAAATACAGGTACAGCAGTCTTCCCTAGGGTTCTTTTATTTGGGGCAGTTCTGAGTATTGAACCCAGGTTCTCACACACACTAGACAAGTGCTCTACCGCTGAGACAGGATCTCACTAAGTTGCCGAGGCTACTCTTGAATTTGCGAATCTCTTGCTTCAGCCTCCTTGGTCGCTGGGATTCCAAGCATATACCACTGTGGCTGACTTGGGGTCCTTAACTTTATCATGCCTCCATTAAACTCAAGAAAGAGAACAAGGTTACCCCAATAAATTAACGAGCTTAATAATCATCCTTTAACAATGAGAACATATGAGAACATTAAAATAAAGAGTTCAGAAAATACAACATCCATCCGTATTTATTTGGGAACAAAATAAAAAAGAAAGAAGAAAAAAAAAGGGAACAAAGTTAATGACCTTCCCTGAACTGTTTGGTCTGTTTTCTTTTAGCTAAGAAATAGCTTATTAGCTAATATCTGCACCCATTAACGGGGGTGGTGGTGCAGAATAGCCTTTGGGATTTGTGGTTAGTGTGAACAGACTCCTGTCTTAGGATTCCTTTATCAGATTTCAATCATTGAGTCATTCTGAGCATTGTCAGAATTCACAGGGAGGCAGTGTCAGTGTTTCCTTTCTCTACTCCTTTCCCTTTATCCATCCCCTCAGCCCGCCTGACTTGCTACTGTCGCCTGCACCGCTGCTCCCCTGTCCATCCCAGCATTAGGCCTCTCATTTTCCACCTCTCTTTAGCAGGCCTGACGGAATCATGGAAGAGAGAATTCAAACTAAAGCTTCTCAAGAGTATAGCCCCGCTCATGTGGACGCTGTCTCTGCCGTTGCTGCTCTGAACTCAGACCTTTGTGTCTCTGGAGGAAAAGATAAGGTGAGGTCTGCAGCATTTCCAAGGAAGACAACTCATTTCAGGAGAGGGAAGATACTCAGAAAATCTAGGTTTTCACTTCATTTCTGGCAGCCAGGCTGTTAGTGTAACTGTATGGGCTTAAAGGTAGAAGGGCTGGGTTTACACACACCTGAAACCCCAATGACTTGGGAGGTTGAGGCGGAGGATTGCAAGTTTGAGGCCAGCCTCAGCAATTTATCAAGGTCTTAAGCAACTTAGCAGTGAGACCCTGTGTTAAAATAAAAAAAAAWTTTTGAAAAGGCTGGGGATATGGCTCAAATGTTAGCTCCCCTGGGATCTGGTGCCCCCAAAAAACGATTGGGTGTAAATCCCTGCTTTGCTTCTATTACTTTAGGTAAGTCTAAATTTTCTGAGCTTCAGTTTCCTCATCTGATAAGTGTAGATAATATCAACCTCACTTGATGATTTCGAGGATTAAATGAGAGACCATAAGTAAGATCCTTAACACTCTGCCTGACATGACCACCTGCATGACTTCTATAAGTGGCAGGTGTTACTGTTCCAGCCCATACATGTTTAAAGCAGAAACAGAAGTTGTCAACAAAAAGAACATCATACTTTCTTCTCTTGTGGGTACATCTATTCTTTCCTTGTATGTTTTTGTCTTTTCCCCGTCGTTATTTTGAATCCAAGTGCTTCCTCTCCTTCATATTGGTTGTATCCTCATACTCACTGCTAGGAGTAGCAAAAATGCTGCTGCTTTTTGCAGTAAATAATGTCTCTCACTGTTAATAGCCTTTTCAAATCTTCCAATTTCATTTGCTTACTGTATTTCATTGGTTTTAACATGCACTTGTTTTCAAATTTGCCTCTCTGAAATCAGGATGTATCTCAACATTTTAACACTCAAGAGCATTTTGTTTTAAAATCTGTATCATCTTAAATGCAAGAAATTTCATTTATATGACCCTCCCTTGCATCTGTTAGGGTTAAACAGGGCAAGGATTATCCTCTCCATTTTGCAGATTAGGAAACTGGTGTTTAATTAGGTCAGGTGCAGAGGGGGCTGGGCCCACGACAGCACATGCTCTTTGCTCTTTAGCAATGAGCCGTGGGGACTCAGAAAATTTTAAAGTCCTGTTTGGGGAGAGGGATGCTTATGGTAATATATTAACGTGTACACCTGGAAACAGGGTGCAAAAGAATTTTAACAACGGTTCTCTTTGGAAGATGGTATTATGAATTCGGGTTTTTAAAATTAAAAAATGTAGTCTGTTTTATAATACTGTGAATATATTCAACAGTACTGAACTGTACAGTTAGAAATGGTGAATTTTAAAAAGATACTCTAAGGGCTAAGGTTGTAGTTCAGTGACAGAGTGCATGCCTGGCACATGTGAGGCACTAGATTTGATCCTCAGCATCACATAAAAATAAATTTTAAAAAATAGTTATTTTTAAAAAATTTTTAAAAAAGATACTTTAAGAAAGTATAGGGCTAGGGTCATAGCTCAGTGGAAGAGTACTTGCCTAGCATGTGTGAGGCACTGAGTTTGATTATCAGTATAACATATAAGTAAATAAATTAATAAAAAAGAAAGAAAGTGCAATATAATAGGGAAAAAATAATCTAATCCCAGGCAGAATTCTTCAGAATATATAGCCAGAATCTCAAGGTGAATCCATGTTTCTCGGGGAATGTTTTCCTGAACCATAGTAAGGTTTAGAGGAGTGGCCCTGTGTGGACAGACACAGGGGAATGATCAAGAGGAAACAAAAGAAATTCAAAGCAGGGGCACATAAGGAAGGGCACAAAATAAAACTCTAGGGCTTGAAGCAAGGCCCCTAGGAGAGGCTAGGAGAGGGAGGAAGTAACATGGAAATGGGTGACTAAACTGCTCCAATGACTCTCTGCAGACAGTCGTGGCCTATAATTGGAAAACTGGAAACGTGGTGAAGAGGTTCAAAGGACATGAACGTGAAATCACCAAGGTAATTGTCAAATGATTATCCTGAAGGGAATCTGGAACTGAATCAAGGAATATCTAATAGCTCCAGATATTAAGAGTGATTGTTTAGTCCTAAGGAAAAATACCCAGGCTTTATTTGATGCTGTGAAGTTCTACTCCAGGCAAAGCAAAGTAGAGCAAAACAAAGGTGGAGGGCTGGGGATGTGGCTCAAGCGGTAGCGGGCTCGCCTGGCATGCGTGCGGCCTGGGTTCGATCCTCAGCACCACATACCAACAAAGATGTTGTGTCCGCCAAGAACTAAAAAATAAACATTAAAAAAAAATTCTTAAAAAAAAAAAAAAAAAAAACAAAGGTGGAAATATGCAAGATGGCCACCGAAAGGCACACAGATGAACAAAATGTGGGAATATATGCACAATGGAGTATTATTCAACCTTGAAAAAGAATAGAATTCTGATGGGTGCTGTGGCACATGCCTGTGATCCCAGGGCTCGGGAGTTTCAGGTAGGAGGATCACCAGTTCAAAGCCAGCCTCAGCAACTTAGCAAGGCCCTAACCAATTCAGTGAGACCCTTTCTCTAAGTAAAATACAAAAGGGGCTGTGGATGTTGCTCAATGGTTAAGCACCCCTGGGTTCAATCCCCAGTTCCAAAAAATAAAAAAATAAAAGATCTTAGCTTCCATCTTCAAAATCACCTCTTATTCACAATATGACTGCTGCAGCTCCCTTCGTCATGTCTGATCTTGAGGCAGCAGGAAGAAAGAAAGGGCAAGAAGAAAGGATTGTATCTATAAGCCCCCTTTAAAGGGTTTCCTATAAATCCCACTTCCACTTATTTTTAATTGGTTATCTGTATCTTCAGGTGGGTTGGGAAATATTGATAGGAGTACATTGCCATATCCAAAAATATAGAGGTTTTGTGTTAAATAAGAATGGGAAAACGGGGGCTGTGGTTGTGGCTCAGCAGTAGAGTGCTCACGTAGCAAGTGTGAGGCACTGGGTTTGATCCTCAGCACCATGTAAAAATAAAATAAAGGTATTGTGTCCAACTACAACTAAAAAAAAAAAATTAAAAATGGGGAAATGGGTCATGAGTACACTACTTGTAGACTGCTACAAGTATTGAAAAAAAATTCTTAATGAAATATTAGCAAATAGAGTTTAACTTTCCTAGAAAAACACATACCATGACTAACTGAGCTTTATTCCAGGGATGCAGAAATGATTTGTTATTAAGAAATTGATAAATAGGGCTGGGGATGTGGCTCAAGCGGTAGCGCGCTCGCCTGGCATGCGTGCGGCCCAGGTTCCATCCTCAGCGCCACAAACAAAGATGTTGTGTCCACCGAAAACTAAAAAAAAAAAACTACAACTATCACACAAAACTACAAAACTACAACTATCTTATATTTGATAAAGGGGCTAAAAGCATGCAATGGAGGAAGGATAGCATCTTCAACAAATGGTGCTGGGAAAACTGGAAATCCATTTGCA